TTACCTTGATGAAAGCCCCCAACCTAAATGAATTGAAAGTGTCTTTCTTTTGGAACAAAGTTACATGTTCCTCAGTACAAAAACATGCACACAACAAAAACTAGCCATACTGCGCGGTGCTGGGCCCAGTCAGGTCTTTGACACGTTCACCCACTCCCCCGCTTAAAGATCAGCCACAAAATGTTGGCACCATTGTAACAGGTTGTAATCAAGCCCTGGTCTCCAGCATGGGAACAGAAGAGGAATACCTGGTGCGGTAGTCTCAGGTTGGACTACTCCAAATCATCTTGGTTCTGACACACACACACACACAAACGCAAGCTTTGCAGGTCCATCAACCCATTTAAGTACCTCTCACAGTAGTAACCTGTGGCTCATGAGAAAACCTTCATAAATCAGCAGAATGTTAAAAACCTATTTATTGACACTTTACGTAGTGTCCTGTAATACTTAGTTTGAAGTGAGACACCTTTGGTCATTCATAACACATTCATAAAGGCTCTATATCGCATGACGCTGCACTTAATTTAAAGTCAGACCCCTTTGGTTATTTATAACACATAAAAGCCTTGCATCATATTACGCTTTACTTACTATAAAGTCAGACACCTTTGGTCATTCATAACACATACAGAAGGGCTTAATGATGGAAATACACATGTATTAACGCTTAGGGAATTATCACTAACAGCTAAAACAAATAAACATTAAAGACATGCTTAAACCATACACTTCCTTTTTATTTTTACATTTTTAGAACAATACAAATACATTAAGTTTCTACAATTCCAGCAATTAAATTACATTGAACATTACACAGGGCTGTGAATAGTGTAGCTTGTCCCTGAGCTGGCGGACGAATGGTTATTGCCACTCTTGCTGCTGGAGGTACTGCATGTTGGTTCCAACCTTAAAGTAACAACAAAGAAAGTTAGCAGGTCTGATAGGAAATGCCTTTGTCACACCATCTGGATAAGGGCATTTCTGTGCTGCGCCAGAAACTCTAAATGGGAAGATGGTAAACTCCATTTAATTTGTATTATTATATTCCTTTTTCATTTACAAATCTAATGACGTGTCTATGAGACATGGCTGTCTCTAGGTGGATTTGTATTTAGCTAAGCCTGCTAGCTAGCAAAATATTGTCTAGCTATCAATTGCTGTGAAGTCACTGAAATTATTTGAAATAACGATTGAGGTAGCTACAGTATTTAATCTCAACACTTAACTACTACAAACTAATTTAAATTACAATAAATAAAGGTTAACTTACTTGTTTTCCGCTGTCCAGTAGCCAGCACAAGTGGGGCATTTGATTTGCGAACTCATCACATGATCAGCGTCTTCTCAGCAACACTAAGGCTGCGTTTCAAACACATGTAAGACACACCCTCCTCCACTTACCCTCGCTTTATGCCCTATGGCAGGGGTGTCAAACTCATTTTAGCTCAGGGGCCACATGGAGGAAAATCTATTCCCAAGTGGGCCGGACCGGAAAAATCATGGTGTATATCTAACTTAAAAACAACAACTTCAGATTGTTTTATTTGTTTTAATACGATCAACATACAACATAAAGCTGGAGCCTGAGGACAGTGTGTCCAAAATAGTACAAGCACAACATCACTATTAATCATAAAACACGTCAAGTTTATTTGAAAATTCTAAAGAAAAAGAACACACAAACACACAATGCCTCAGTGATTAACAGAACTGTTTCACAGATCACAGAACTATATCAGGGTGTCATTTCTCAGGCAGAAATGTAGATACAAATAATGAAATCCTGTTCCCCAAACAAGTGCAAGAACCACAGAGTCAAGAATAGGTTAAATATACAAATAAAAACAATTAAAAACAATAGCACATCAACATAAAAACATAGACATAAATCTGAAAGCGTTGCTCAAACTCCCGTAACAGTCCCGTTATTTTATCTTTGAACCACTTCATGTCTGCCACATGTTGGGTCGCGCACACATTTTTCAGACAGGGGAAGTGAGCTGCATCACCACCGGCAAGTTGCGTCTCCCACAATGACAGCTTCAACTTGAAAGAACGTATGCTGTCATAATACTGCGTGACAACTTTGTTGTGCCCTTGCAGCTGTTTGTTCAAGTTATTCAGGTGCTCTGTAACATCCACCATAAATGCAAGGTCCTGCATCCATTCTGCGGAATGACATTCTAACACTGGTTTGCCCTTTTCTTCCATGAACTGTTCAATTTCTTCTCGTAAATCAAAGAAACGCCTCAGAACAGCACCTCGGCTTAACCATCTTACCTCAGTGTGGTATGGCAGGCCATAGATGTGGTCTTTCTCTCTGAGAAGGCTGTCAAACTGACGGTGATTCAGGCTTCTGGATCGGATGAAATTAACAGTTTGGATGACCACCTTCATGACATTATCCATCTTTAATGACTTGCAACACAAAGCCTCCTGGTGCAAAATACAGTGAAAAGTCAAAAAATCACGTCCTCCATTTGCAGATTGCACTTTCTCTCTGAACTTTGTCACAACGCCTGCTTTTTTCCCGATCATTGAGGGCGCACCATCTGTAACCAGGCTGACAGCGCGGGACCAGTCCACTCCGACCCTGTCCAGCGCGCCGACGAGTGCGGTAAAAATATCAGCTGCTGTCGTTGTATCTGTCATCGGCACCAACTCCACGAACTCCTCGGTGACGGTCAATGTGTCATCAACTCCGCGGATGAAAATGGCCAGTTGTGCAACATCTGTAATGTCCGTGCTTTCATCAATTGCAACCGAAAACGCAATAAATGACTTTACTTTTTGCTTCAACTGGCTGTCCAAATCCACTGAAAGATCGGAAATCCTGTCTGCAACTGTGTTTCTTGTCAGGCTGATATTTGCAAAAGCCTGCCGCTTTTCAGGGCACACAATCTCTGCTGCCTTCATCATGCATGTTTTTACAAATTCACCCTCACTAAATGGTTTTGAAGCCACTGCGATTTCATTAGCAATGAGGTAGCTAGCTTTCACTGCAGCGTCACTGATGTCTCGGCTGTGAGTAAACACAGACTGCTGTTTCTTCAGACCCGCCAACAGTTCATTCACCTTCTCTCATCTCCGCTGTCCTTGAAAGTTGTCATATTTGTCGGCATGAAGACTCACATAGTGGCGACGAAGGTTATATTCTTTCAGCACTGCAACATGCTCTGAACACACCAAACATACAGCTTTCCCATTCAATCCATGAATAAATAGGATTACCATTTTTCTTGGAACACTCTGCACTCTGTGTCCACTTTTCTCTTTTTTCACAGAGACATATTGGGGCAATGAGGGTGCCAAAACACATAATGTTAAAAGTAGAAGCCGTAATAAATATCCCGGGCAAAACAAAGTAGCTCATTGGCTGCACGTGCTTGACCTACTTGCTCTGCCCCGGTATAAACAGTTTGCTTGCTTAACACAATTGCTATTGCGCCATCCAGTGGACGCAATTGGAACAGCAGTTTATTTTATTGAAAAAAAGCATTTTTATACTGTAAAAAAAAAAAAAAAATATTTTTTCTTTTTTTTCAAAATCATCTCGCGGGCCGGATTAAACCCGTTTGCGGGCCTGATCCGGCCCGCGGGCCGTATATTTGACACCCCTGCCCTATGGGAATCCCCGCGTCCATTTTTGCTATCTGTCCAAACAATTAGCCAAGCAAGGGAAGTTGGCAACGTAAATCGGTCAGCCCTCGTTCTTGGTCGAGTGTACAATTCTGTTCACTCCAGGGCTTGAAACGCCCCATAATTCAATTCACGATGATTGTACATCCGCTAAGAAGTCTGCCAAAACTTAAAACCAACGTCAATATGGAGAAGTCAACATAAAAGTGTAAGTAAAAACAAATGTAAATAAGTTAGAAATGGTGCTACTAATGCACATGACGGCACAAACACATATCGTAAAAGTAATGATGTTTTTGTTTGGTTGGCTTTTGGAAACGTTATCTAGCGCATACAACTTTCCCTGACATCACACTTACACATTGTAATTTTCGATTTAGCTGATATCGTCGGATGGCTAGCATTCGATGTCTTCTAGCCAAGATATTAAATGCAATCATACTTGACTGTAGCGCATATAAAGCACACACAAACGCTACCGGTGGTTCCATGATGACTGAAAACACAACCGTGGAACGAACGATTGACACATTTCTGGGCAAGGGCGGTCCATTTAAAATTAATTAATTATTCCTTCGCCCCTTGCCCTGCAAGTGTCAACTCATCATATGTCATCAGAAGTGTCCACTTAATTTGAGTGGTGAGGGGAGAGGGAGTGTCTTTTACATGTTTGGAATGCAGCCTAAAAACTACTTCCAGGTCACAGAATTTCTGACATTTTCAAAATAAAAGTCCCCCACATTATAGTAGAAAAGTGTCAATAACCATTCATGAAATATGGAAAAAATAATTGTCTAAACATGAACAATAATTCATATTTGTTCAAATGACATTTGCATTAAATTCGGGTTTTAAAACATGTTCCAAGGTCAAATAAATGTCCCCAATGCGAATCACTGTATATGGAATACATATTGGTAGAGCACGGAGCTTGCAACGCCAGGGTTGTGGGTTCGTTTCCCACGGGGGGCCAGTATGAAAAAATGTATGCACTCACTAACTGTAAGTCGCTCTGGATAAGAGCGTCTGCTAAATGACTAAACATGTAAATATTGGCTTAGAGCAAGAACTATTCTGTTATGTAGTGTTTATGAAGTCTTTATGAAGCTGACCGTATTTCTTTACTCAAAGATTTTAGAAGTAGGCAGGACGTCCTATACACTGTCCAATAGAAATAGAGGACACTGGATGTAGTTTGAAAGGTTCACGGGAATATGGTCCAATGGGGAAAAGGAATGGGATTCGAGTCCATTCTTATTATACCTCAGTGTTCGAGTCACCCGGCCACCCTAAATACTGTCAACCAATAGCAATTATTGTAGTTCATTGAAAAGCTCCATTATAGGCTAGGTTAAAAGTAGTGACAAGATAAATAGCAAATCATAGCCGAAGGAGGTTTTTTTTTGTCCAATGGACGTTTAGGACGTAGTAACTAATCTTATAAATAACAAGGTGAGAGCTGTCAGTGTACATTGACTGCTGCGGTGAGCTAGGTATCGTGGACCCCGTGTGTACTGTAACATTAAGGTGAGTTAGTAGTTTGGTGTTTAAGTATGACATAGTATTTTGTCATTTCGGTATGATTATAATCGCATTGTGAATATTTTGAAATGTCCTGTCTGTATTGCGGGGGCGAATAGAAATCGTTAGCATGCTAGCCAGCCATACATTGTAGGTGAAGTGGACGGCCATTCAATGATTTCTTCCGAAGAATGACATTTTACAGTGAATGTATTCGTACTGTAGAATTCTTAACAGAGAAGTGTGTACATGGGCAGCCGCGTATACTGCTGGGAAATAAACATGCAAATGTTAATTTGCGAAACCATGCATGTTGGTGTACAACCGATCGCTGCGGTGACTCTTCAGCAAAATGTCTGACTTGCTGGTCCATATCCGGGCCTAGTGAACCAGTGCATGTTTTCAGTCATTGTGGATTCATGTCCCTGAGGATTGAGAAGGACGTTTAATAATTTCTATCAAATATAGTTTGCGTTCTGTACCAAATGCAGCGTCCTTGTATTTAATTCCTGTATTGGTGTCTGTGGGTCATTTTTGACCTTCACGTCTCGAGCTGGCTAGACAACTCCTCCCACCAATCTGCTAGCAGTGTCTGTCTGAAGTATATTACATTTAGCTAGCTATGGCTAACAAACTACCCAGGTTAGCCAACTAGCTACCGTTTCATGCTTTCGGCTTTTTGCAAATAGCTACTACCCTCACTGCATGTGACATGGGTTTAATAAGCCCCATTCACCCAGGGACATTTGATTTGGGATAGTTTAGATTTTCCCATGGTGAATCCTTCAGTTGTCATTCGTGCTAATGTTAACGTTACCTGCCCAGGGGCAGAATTGCCACGGGGAAAGGGTGTAATGTACTAAAGCATGTGGTATCTTTTACAATGAATGTAGCTAGTTTGATTTTTACTTATTCAATCATAGCATCGCTAAAGGCTAGCTTGCCTGTCTGGGCTTCATGTGCACTGTCAACTACACTACCTCGCTACTAATGCAATTGGATTAACTTGCATTAGACATATCTGGAATCGAAGTTGATCATAGCTTAGCTCCCCACTTACAGTAAGTATTAGTGTTTTGAAAATATCGTGTTCTTTAATGCTGCACTGTCATTTGCTTTGGGATCTTGCCACATTCAAACAAGCCTTGCTATTTTTCATGCAATTACACTTAATCAACAAATCGTATGACCTGGGTGTGAAGATTGTAACTTGATTCTTTATTTGCGCACAGTTGTAACCTCTTGAGATTCTACAATCAGATTTTACCACAGGACCTTAGTCTACCTTTTGCACATCCTCTGCCCTGATGCACATGGGAAAATGCTTGACTGGTTACCCCTACAGGTCAGGTCATACCTTTAGCAGTGTAGAGCTGGTTTAGGTGGTGGGCGGTAGCTAAGAGTTGTGCATGCCTTCCATTGTAAACACTTTTTTTCTTGTCCAAACGACTGATTGTGTGCTGGAAGAAGAGACCTGTTAAATGGCTGGGGAATTTCATGGTGGTGCAAATTAGCAGTTAAAAAAACGTAATTTGTCATCTCTCTCCACAGGCACAAGCCATGTACGCCTGCGCTAAGTTTGTCACCTCACCTGCTGTGGTATGTATTCTTTGAAACTACAATGTCACTGTTTGATCCTCTGCCAGTTGTGCCTTATCAGTCTAGATCTAGCTCTTACACACACCGTCTTGTTTAGCTAAAAGATGTGCAGCAAATTAATATATTTCGTAAGGAATGTAGCACGTGATGAGAATGCATTTAGGTTTTTTAGAAAAAAGATTAATGAATTTGATGGGAAAGAATAGTCTATGACAGTGTTACCTGTATGTATGACCAGTGGTCTGCCGGGAATAAGTTGGGAAACATCACTATGTAGGCTATTAGCCTCTCACCTTGTAGGCTAATCTAACCCTACAGTACTCAGTCTTTAGTAAGGACAAGATTTGGATTGATCATGACATTGCCATTCTACCAGTCTTCATGCCTCTGTAATCCTCCTAGACATTAGACTATTAGATGCAACTCTGTCAGGTCATAATCTTGGCGTGCTCCAGAACTCACCTCAGGGTAATCTACATTTGGCAGTTTGTTAGTAATGATTTATAATTAGAGCTTGTTACAAGCTTTTAAGTCTGTCTAGGAGTCTGATGTGTAGTTGTCTCTTGCAGCTGCGTGGGGGGTCCAGAGTCCTCGCCCGGCCAGTCTCGGTCTCAGTCTTCAACAGACCTGAAGCCAGAAGTGAGCAGCAGGTGAGCCTCTCTTCAAACCAAATGTAAACCCTGTGACGGTAACGTTGCTAATAATTCTGTGCTTAGGTTTGTGTGTAAACCTTTTGTCAATTGCCCCTTTTTGTGATAACCTGAAACTATTAGATTAGGCAATTTTATGTTCATAAAGTTTGTTTCTTTTCAACTCATCACTAACCCATATTGCCTTTTTAGTTGTATTCATCCTGAACACCAGGCTATTTTAAATCCCTGTCTGGCTAAATACTAATGTGGCCAGTGCTGTAAAAAGGACTGGTATCCAGGCTATGTGTCCTTGTGACCATTTCCACGGGTCCCTTCAGGGCTCTACAGTGTGACCATTTTACTCGCATATCAGCCTGACTATTTTGTTATGCAACCTGGAATTTTTATTTAGGAGCACCAGTGTGCCTAGAAAAATGAAGGACTCTAGCTTTGTTACCTCAACTTGCACCTACATTTTTAAACTTAGGCGCACACATGCTCCTTGTGAAAAATAAATACATCATCATAGAGCCCTGCTCTTGTGTTGACCTTTCTTGACTGGTATTTTGAGCAGCACTTTTTTTATTTTACACCCCTTTTTTTTTCCCCCCAATTTCGATCTTGTCTCATCACTGCAACTCCCCAACGGGCTCGGGAGGCGACAGTCGACTCATGCGTCCTCCGAAACATGACCCGCCAAACCATCCTTATTAACAACTGCCCGCTTAACCCGGAAGCCAGCCGCACCAATGTGTCGGAGGAAACACTGTTCAACTGACGACCGAGGTCAGCCTGCAGGCACCTGGCCTGCCACAAGGAGTCGCTAGAGCGCGATGAGCCAAGTAAAGTCCCCCCGTAACTCGGACGACACTGGACTGATTGTGTCCCTAGCCCATATCTGTTATTACTTGACCCTTCTGGTAGTCTGAGAACTGGCAAGGTGAAGGCAATAGGGAGCTATGAGCTTCCATCGTATTAGAGGGGGAGGGTGGGCTATTTAACAATAAGGCACGAGGGGTTTTTGTATATGGCCAATATACCACAGCTAAGGGCTGTTCTTATGCACGATGCAAAACGGAGTGCCTGGATACAGCCCTTAGCCGTGGTATATTGGCCATATACCACAAACCCCCAAGGTGCCTTATTGCTATTATAAACTGGTTACCAACGTAATTAGAGCAGTACAAATAAATGTTTTCTTATACCCGTGGTATACGGTCGGATATACCACGGCTTTCGGCCACTCAGCATTCAGGGCTTTCAGGTGGCCTCAGAGGCTGAACTGGAACGATGTTCTGATTTTGACCGCTCTGCACCCTGCATCTTCCCCAGGCCCTGTTGCCTGTCGGTGAGGCCTCTCTTCTGACCCGAGGGTTCAAGACCAGCGCTGTCTCCAGGGACATCGACACTGCCGCCAAGTTCATCGGTGCTGGAGCCGCCACAGTGGGAGTGGCCGGATCAGGGGCTGGAATTGGAACAGTGTTCGGCAGCTTGATCATCGGTTATGCCAGGTAACTGATTAACGAAAAGGATTCATTCCTTTGTTCGTGGAAGTGGGCATATTCAGAAGCAAAATCGGATGCAGCAGAAGAATCGTTGTAATCAGTGATTATGTGGGTGGCAGAGAAATGCTCAAATTTTACCACAAGAGTATTGATGAAGCGTGTGAGCTGGTTCATTTTAATTTGGGTTCATATCATTAACAAACAATTTGCTGCTGTCGTCCAGCCTAAATCTTAACTTTCAGTCCTCTCCTCTTTCTCTCTCTGACAGGAACCCCTCCCTGAAGCAGCAGCTCTTCTCCTATGCCATCCTGGGCTTTGCCCTGTCTGAGGCCATGGGGCTCTTCTGTCTCATGGTGGCGTTCCTCATCCTGTTCGCTATGTAATTTAGTCACACCCTGTTCCCATCCCTGTCACCTCCCTTCTCCCAGGGGAATCGGAACTCTTGATGCGAAGCTCACGAGGCCATGGCACCGCCATTCCAATCAAAATCTACGACTACAAATCCTGCCTTTTTATGTTCCCCTTTTTTCCAGAAGTTTTACATATGAGTTCACTTTGGTTTAGACTGTCTGTCTGAATAAATGGTTGGGATAACTATAAACGTGTTGGTCCTTATTTTCAGTGGTGTTTGGGTGCTGGACTGAAAGACATGTAAAAGATACAAACTAAAAGTACTAGTAAAATTATCACATTGAATACAATATAAGCTAAATGTGCTAGTACAGGGATGGGCAACTGGTGGAATTTCTTAGAAATGAAGTCGGGGTCTCAACTTACTGTTGAGAGTTAGAATAATAGAATACACAAGGTGCAATTTCTAAATGTAGTTGTGCATCAGCAGTCACTCAATTAGCCCATGTCAGCAAAGCATTTTAAGATTGGTAAATTAGTCTAGCGACCAGCTATGTAAACTTGTAGTAAGCGTGCTCGAATTACCGACCGGGGTGAGGCCCATTTGATCATCAGTTATCATATTGAAAACTTCAAGCGTTTTCCTCCACCCTATGGAAACTGTCTGCGCTGTCACGAGGGGGGCTGCTAAAATGTTTTGCTCGTGGGGGGGGGGGGAACGGGTGTATGGATGTGGGTACGCAGACCTAAGAGCCACTGCGGCCCCTCATGAGTTCCGTTTTATTGTGGCCCCCACCCAATTAAAGTTGCCCATCCCTTTGCTAGTTTATACAGTGTACAAAACATTAGGAACACCTTCCTAATATTGAGTTTTGCCCTTAGAACGGCCTCAATTCGTCAGGTGCTGGCCGATGTTGACTATTGCTTGCCACAGTTGGCTGGATGATCTTTGGGTGGTGGACCATTCTTGATACCCATGGGAAACTGTTGAGCATGGAAAAACCCAGTAGCATTGCAGACACACACAAACTGGTGCGCCTGGCACCTACCATACTCCCTTCAAAGGCACTTAAATATTTTGGCTTGCCCATTCATTTACATTTACATTTTAGTCATTTAGCAGACGCTCTTATCCAGAGCGACTTACAGGAGCAAGTAGGGTTAAGTGCCTTGCTCAAGGGCACATCGACAGATTTTTCAACTAGTTGGCTCGGGGATTAGAACAGCGACCTTTCGGTTACTGGCACAACGCTTTTAACCACTAAGCTACCTGGCTCAATGGCGCACACAAACAATGTCTCAAGGCTTAAGTCTTTATTTAACCTGTCTCCTCCCCTTTATCTACACTAAAGTGGAATTAACAGGACATCAATCAGGGATTGTAGCTTTCATCTGGTCAGTCTGTCATAGAAAGAGCATGCGTTGTACATTTGGTGTATATTCAATGTAATAAAATGTTTTGTCTGCACAAAATGTTGATATACAGGCTTGCTTGCCGCAATTACTTTTGACTTGATTCAAAAGCTGAGTTGGGAAATTATCCGTTTTCCTAAGTAGATTCTTTGCGAGATTAACTTCCCGCAGTCTAGTAGTAGACCATGCTTACCTCAGACATTTTGAGTTGGAAGAGGATAGAATGAGGGGACGCAAGGAATCAAAGGACCTCTGAGATTCACCCTTGGTGTAGCCACAGGCTATAGGTACTTTCCACATTTCCTACACCTGACCTGTCCATTGCTTTTGAATGCATGAGGGGGAGCCAATGGGCACACTTTGGGGGGAGAATATGAATTCAGCACAGACATCAGTGCCTAGGTGTTATTTCTGGACAACTATGGGTGGGCCAGTGTCACTAGAATGAACCACATCTTTGAGCATTTTAAATTGGCTATACACTCCCCTCATTTATTTGGACGGTGAAGCTGAAATATTTAATTTGGCTCTATATTCCAGCATTTTGGATTTGAGATCAAATGTTTCATATGCGGCAACAATCCTGAATGTCACCTTTTTATTTAAGGATATTTTCATATATCTATTTTACTGTTTAGACTTGAAAGCACTCTGGTCCTCTGTAGCTCAATTGGTGGCGCTTGTAACGCCAGGGTAGTGGGTTTGATCCCCGGGACCACCCATACGTAAAAATGTATGCACACATGACTAAGTCGCTTTGGATAAAAGCGTCTGCTAAATGGCATATTATTATCTAGTCCCCCTCCCCCTAAACTACAAATGCATCCAACAAGTTTGTAGTTACAAGCTTGATGTAGTCATTGAGTGCTAGGAATATGGGACCAAATACTAAACTTTTGACTACTTTAATACATTAAGTGAATTTGTCCAAATACTAAATGACACCTTCAAATGGGGGTACTAGATGCATAAAGTGCTTTCATTCCTAAACTGTAAAACATATGTATGAAAATAACCTCAAATGAAAGGTGAAGTTCTGTACTGTCGCCTCATATAAAACATTTTAGCTCAAATCCAGAATGCTGGAGTATAGAGCCAAGTTAAAAGTTGTAGCTTCACTGTATATATAAATATGGAGGGGGGTGTAGTTTTATTCTCTACGGCAGTAGTTCTCAACTTTTTTTGAACTGTGGCACACTTTGATGGGCTGTAAAATTCTGTGACACACCTAAAAATGTCCCTATAAATGTATTTCTTGGTAATGAATACCAAGGTACCGAGGTACTCCTGAGTGGCGCAGTGGTCTAAGCACTCGCAGTGCTAACTGTGCCACTAGAATCCTGGTTCGAATCCAGCTCTGCGCATGGAGACTCATGGCGCGCACATTCGTCAGGTGGGACATGTAGCTCAGTTGTAGAGCATGGCGTTGCAACCCAGGTTGTGGGTTCGTTCCACGGGGGCCAGTATAAAAAAAAAAAAAAATATTCCTAACTGTAAGTCGCTCTTGGATAAGACGTCTGCTAAATGACGTGAAATGTCATGACCTCCATCTCATCTGATCCATACTGCAAATGATCTATTTTCTGTGACAAACGTTTTTGATAGATTAAATAGGGTTTATTATAAATATTTCATAGTTTTGATAGTTCCTTACTCATGATGGTTCATTTGTGTGTAGCCGTTTAAGTGTGTCCCGCCAATCTGGGAGAGATTCTTTATTTAATTTTTTCTCAGGTAAAGTACAGTCGTAGTCAAAGGTTTTGAGAATGACACAAATACTAATTTTCACAAAGTCTGCTGCCTCAGTTTTGATGATGGCAATTTGCATATACTCCAGAATGTCATGAAAGTGATCAGATGGAATTGGCAATTAATTGCAAAGTCCCTCTTTGCCATGAAAATGAACTTAATATGTGCCCTTGAGCAAGGCACTTAACCCTAATTGCTCCTGTAAGTCGCTCTGGATAAGAGCGTCTGCTAAATGACTAAAATGTAAATGTAAATGTTAATCCCCAAAAAACATTTCCACTGCATTTCAGCCCTGCCACAAAAGGACCAGCTGACATCATGTCAGTGATTCTCTCATTAACACAGGTGAGAGTGTTGACGAGGACAAGGCTGGAGATCACTCTGTCATGCTGATTGAGTTAGAATAACAGACTGGAAGCTTTAAAAGGAGGGTGGTGCTTGAAATCATTGTTCTTCCTCTGTTAACCATGGTTACCTGCAAGGAAACGCGTGCCGTCATCATTGCTTTGCACAAAAAGTGCTTCACAGGCAAGGATATTGCTGCTAGTAAGATTGCACCTAAATCAACCATTTATCGGATCATCAAGAACTTCAAGGAGAGAGGTTCAATTGTTGTGAAGAAGGCGTCAGGGCGCCCAAGAAAGTCCAGCAAGTGCCAGGACCGTCTCCTAAAGTTGATTCAGCTGCGGGATCGGGGCACCACCAGTGCAGAGCTTGCTCAGGAATGGCAGCAGGCAGATGTGAGTGACAAGGTGAGCGCTACCATCAGTCCTGTGTCATGCCAACAGTAAAGCATCCTGAGACCATTCATGTGTGGGGTTGCTTCTCAGCCAAGGGAGTGGGCTCACTCACAATTTTGCCTAAGAACACAGCCATGAATAAAGAATGGTACCAACACATCCTCCGAGAGCTACTTCTCCCAACCATCCAAGAACAGTTTGGTGACGACCAATGCCTTTTCCAGCATGATGGAGCACCTTGCCATAAGGCAAAAGTGATAACTAAGTGGCTCGGGAACAAAACATCGAAATGTTGGGTCCATGGCCAGGAAACTCCCCAGACCTTAATCCCATTGAGAACTTGTGGTCGATCCTCAAGAGGCGGGTGGACAAACAAAAACCCACAAATTCTGACACACTCCAAGCATCGATTATGCAAGAATGGGCTGCCATCAGTCAGGATGTGGCCCAGAAGTTAATTGACAGCATGCCAGGGCGGATTGCAGAGGTCTTGAAAAGGAAGGGTCAACACTGCAAATATTGACTCTTTGCATAAACTTAATGTAATTGTCAATAAAAGCCTTTGACACTTATGGAATGCTTGTAATTATACTTCAGTATACCATAGTAACATCTGACAAAAATATCTCATAACACTGAAGCAGCGAACTTTGTGAAGACCAATACTTGTGTCATTCTCAAAACTTTTGACCACGACTGTAGGTCTTTAGTTTTGAACGGTTTGGGCTACAGAGGAGCGGTTTTCTGCATTTTAAAGGTGCAACCACAGACACAAAGCAATACTCTGTTTGTTTCTATGGCAGACGCTGTTCTACAGTTTAGCCCAGCCATATATTAAGAAAGAAATGTCTAAACCTATTCAGACTTTCATGTGCTAATGGTTTTTACAGACAAAGTAAAATGATACAAATGATTTTGCTCGTGGTGCACGAACCTCAAATACAAATTTAACAATAGTCTGAGCACACTGGACTTGAAACCACGATACATATGTAACCATGTGCAATTTAATGTATTATTTGACCTGCACTAGTGCTCCCAAGTCAAACTGCTATGTGCATTCACTATACTGGTGGTAATATACAACTTCAATCACTAATAGAAAAAGTGACTATCTGAACGGAAGAATTGAACTGTTAAAGATTTTCTGGTAGGAGACAGTTAAATGTGTTCTAGAACCCTGAGTTAAATTAAAGCAGTCTTCCATAAATTACTAGTCAACATATCTATATATATTTTTATTTTTTTACAGCCAACTCATTTCAGTTATAATCCACGTCAAGGTATGGTGTTCTAAAGAAAAGGTGAAATACTGACTTTGTAGGCCTACTGCTGTATGTTGCTACTGTCCCTGACAAATAAAATAACATTTGATTTGATTTGACAGTCTCATAACATGGACGCACTGAGTCCAACTACAATTCCGATGATCGCCGCCAGGTGGCAGTAACGGTATTCTGTGGAGAGGAAGTGGTTATGGAAAACAGAAGAAAAAGCAAAGCGATAAACAGGCTGAAACCGCTAACTGCGTTGAAGACAGGTAAAACTGAGAATTTGTGGCGGGTAGCATTAACTTTTAGACTGACAGTTTGTAGTTTTATAAGACATAGCTAAACACGATTAGCTACTTTTGGAGGCGAGAAGAAAGGCATACAATGCCGAGGGAGCGCTTTTTCTCATCTTCGACTCTCCTTGCTCGTCTTCCTCGTTTACCGACTGCGTGAGGACGGACTCAAACCAGAAACTACTGTATCGACAAGTGTCAATAACTGTAGCTAGCAAGCTAGCTAGCTATAACCCGAACAAGTGCTAATTTACAATGGCGGATAGCGTAGGAGAGGGTGTTAATGGTGAAATTGGGTTAGGTGTCGGTAGTCAGGGAAATGGAGCTCCGTTGTTACCGAGTTTGGGTAATTCTCTGCCGGGCCACTCAACGAGCGGAGCTAACCCGGCCTCACCACCTCCTGCAGCGGCGGCGGAGACTGGCCTAGCCGTCATGGCCCCTGGAGCCACAACCACATCAACCGTAGGGACTGGGAGCGGGTTTGGAGTTGCAGGTGTTCTTAGCACGGTAGTGGGCGCTGCCATTCCAGTACCCCCCTACTCGGCCACCAATGCTCTTCCAGGCGGTATTGGTTTGGGGGTGGCCGGAGCGGGCCTCCTGTCCCAGATTCACGCAACGTCCTGGGACCCAACACTAAGTACCGACTGGGACAACGAGAAGACGTCCCAGCAATGCATTCTCCGAATCAAAAGGTAAACATTTGAGTATCTAGATATACCCTTATGGGCTTGCCTGTTATAACATATGGAATGTGGTTCCATGCTGTCTGAAAAGCACCTTTCATATCGGGGAAATAATTTCCAAAAACAAAAGGTTAAATTGATACACACCTTCATAGGGTTAGTGTTCCCACACGGCCATATCTCAATGTTACAGCGCTTGTTTAATTAGCTATATAGCATTCTCCGAACACCTGTGTCTAAGCATAACTCGGGAAGTGTAGCAGAAGTGTAGTTTCGTCGGATGGAGGCACCCATAGGTATATGGACCTGAGCAAAACGTCTACAGTAAGTGTATATATTTTTTATTTGAAGGATTCTTTCCCGCTGATGAAAGATAATGGCCTTATGGTTCGAAAGCCCTTTCGTAATTGATGATTAATGACGTTTCTAAACGTTAAAACACAGCGTCAGGATTGTAGTTCAAAAGAGGTAGTCTTTGGCGAAGCTAGTAATGGCTAAAAACTAGGGAGCTAGGGCTGACAGTGAGGATTTGAAAAGAGCAGAATCAACAACCTCTGCATAATCAAAACAGTTGCTTTGTGAGAAGGTGTTAACAGTTAGCCATTGTTATGTAAATGCAAGCTGAAAAGTACAAGAGGCCTGGCTTTGGTCCCAAGTGAGAGCAGGTCCATCGGAGCCATGACCCAGTGAGACACTGGTGCTGGCCCGCGTAGGTGGAAACAGAAAAGTCTGAGCCTTTTGGGTGAAACATCCTGTAGGAAAATGTGCCCTAAGAAAATGGGTACTTAGGCTATTAGTTAGGCCAATAGTTAGTATTAATTGGTCAGAGTTACTGATTTCATAACGTTAGTTTACTATGATGTGACTCTGTAAGAAATATATTGACCATATATTATGAAACGTATAAACACAACATTGTCAATGTTACATTGTTGACATGGTGTCCACATCACCAACAAACTATCATGGTCCAAACACACCAAGACAGTCATGAAGAGGGCACGACAAAGCCTATTCCCCCTCAGGAGACTGAAAAGATTTGGCATGGGTCCTCAGATCCTCAAAAAATTCTACAGCTGCACCATCGAGAGCATCCTGACTGGTTGCATCACCGCCTGGTATGGCAACTGCTTGGCCTCCGACCGCAAGGCACTACAGAGGGTAGTGCGTACGGCCCAGTACATCACTGGGGCCAAGCTTCCTGCTATCCAGGACCTCTATACCAGGCGGTGTCAGAGGAAGGCCCTCAAAATTGTCAGACTCCAGCCACCCTAGTCATAGACTGTTCTCTCTGCTACCGCACGGCAAGCGGTACCGGAGTGCCAAGTCTAGGTCCAAAAGACTTCTCAACAGTTTCTACCCCCAAGCCATAAGACTCCTGAACAGCTAATCATGGCTACCCAGACTATTTGCACTGCCCCCCCACCCCAACTTTTTACGCTGCTGATACTCTGTTAATTATTTATGCATAGTCACTTTAACTCTACCCACATGTACATATTACTTCAACTAGCCGGTGCCCCCGCACATTGACTCTGCACCGGTACCCCCCTGTATATAAAGCCTCCCTACTGTTATTTTATTTTATTTTACTTCTGCTTTTTTTTCTCAACACTTTTTGTTGTTGTTTTATTTTACTTTTTATTAAAAAATTAATGCACTGTTGGTTAAGGGCTGTAAGTAAGCATTTCATTGCAATGTCTGCACCTGTTGTATTCGGCTCATGTGGCCAATAAAATTTGATTTGATTGGACATAAATGGTGCCACTTGTCTCTTTAAAAAATGTGCCCCAAGTGCCAGTCTGCTTGTGCTATCATGTCAAGTTGGCAAGAGCACAAACAGATCTGGGACCAGGCTGCTATCATTGTGTATTTGCATATTTTCTTAAGTTTGTCTTCTTACTCTCTCCTCAGGGATATCATGTCCATCTATAAGGAGCCTCCCCCGGGTATGTTTGTGGTTCCTGACCCTCACGACATGACTAAGGTAAAGCTCCCAGACTTCCACCACCACTCCCTAGGTCCATGGGGTCTGTTCTGGTACAACTGTACCAAGTCAGACAGCAGTGTGGGTTTCATGAATGGGCATTGTCATTTGGCTATGATGATGAAATATGAGCCTTAGACCTTACTGTTGTACATTGAGCTAGCCAGACTATGTGAAGTATTTGACTGGCGTATGAAACAATCCTATTTGGGACTTGAAAGACAGGGGCTGTCCTTCAAATGCTGATGCAGAGTTAAAGTTTAAGCAACCCCTTTCCCAGGCTCAAGTTGAAAGAAAATGAACATTATTAATTTAGTCAGGCCCCAATTTACTTAAGTATTTACCAGGTAATTTACCCTTGTTTTGTCTTCCAAATTATAACCCACAGACTCAATGTTTGTACTAGGTCAAAAAAAATCAATGAAATTGGACTTACTAAACAAACAATAAATACAGCCATTGAATAACTTTTGCTGTGGCAAGAGGAACCACAGCCATCTTGGAATTAGTCTTCACACAACTATTATGAGGATTATTATGGCAACCATGAGAATTATGGAGAAATTCAACGCATCAACACCCTCACTATATATTAGTCCTGACTCTAGTCTTCCCTCCTCAGATTCATGCCCTCATCACAGGACCTTTCGACACGCCCTACGAGGGAGGCTTCTTCCTCTTTCTGTTCCGCTGCCCCCCGGACTACCCCATCCACCCTCCACGGGTCAAGCTCATCACCACCGGCCAAAACACTGTGCGCTTCAACCCCAACTTTTACCGTAACGGCAAAGTATGCCTCAGCATCCTCGGGTAAGCCAGGGTCCTGCAGCTCAGGGGAAACCTGCTGCACCTGAGCAACCCATACATCTATGCCCAGTTTCCTTTCTAACTAGGGGATGGGGTGACTAGGGGTTGAAATGGGATAAGGCATTCACCAGTCTACCTATTAAACCCAGGCCCATAGAATAGCAGCTCTAACAAATTATATACTTGGGACACTGTGTGATGTGACCTGCAATCAATATCATGATTCCACTTAATTAAACACAGAGAATGAAAAACAGCAGACAGTGCTGCCCTATAGTTGCAAATCAGTCAGTATTACTCATGCCTGACCTGGTCTGATCACAACTGTAAGGGGTAGATGCAGGTAGTGGTCATTCTTTGGCAGAACATGGCTATTTATGGCAGCTCTCTATGTAGAGACACAGATAATTTATTGCATTTCAGCACTTCCTCCCAGACTCGGTCCAGGTCTCGCTGTCGATGTGTGGGTGACTTTGGCCCAGAGGATGCGATGCCATCATTTGCCCGGTTTCAATAATATAATTTTTTTAATTTTTCTTGCAATAACGTGCCCATGTATCGTAAGGCTATTTTGCACCTATGGCTCCTTGAAGCAGCTTTGAAGTACTTCCTCTCGTTACCTTTATAGTAGTGTTGGTCAGTCTCGAGAACCTACAGGGAGTTCAAATGCTTGCACTCCCAAGAATAAAATGGATCTGCTATTCAGTCTTCAATACTTTTTTGGGTGAAGCACCGTAGCTCATATGCAACTTAAACTTTATATTTTGCTTGGTGGGCGGGATCCTGAATCTTTTGTGCTTTAACCTTTCCTCTTTGTTCTGGGTTGTTGTGTAGGACTTGGACAGGGCCAGCATGGAGCCCGGCCCAAAGCATCTCCTCAGTTCTGATCTCCATCCAGTCCCTGATGACTGAGAACCCCTACCACAATGAGCCAGGCTTTGAACAGGTAAGAGGCAAGTTGGCCTCTAATTTAGCTGGAAAGCCAATCCACAATCCCCAGAATGTAGTTCAATCCCACTGCCTTATGGGAAATGTGGTTAACTGAAGCAATGCAGCCATTTTGATCAACAAAGCTACTGTGTTTTTGGGATATGATATTGTGATGAAATATGACTGATTTGTGTTGTCTGACTTACAGAAGTCTTCAGCCGTTGTTCTATGTGTCTATTTAGTCCGCTGTTTGCCATTTCTTCCCCATTTGTAGATGTTTGTGTAAACGTGTGTGTGAAAATCATTTATTTCTGTCATCAGCTACAGACTGACCATATCAGTGTGGAATTTGTCACTTTGTGTCTTGAGAATTGACCCCCTTACACCTGCTCCCTCTGACACTCCCTTTGCCAGGAGAGACACCCGGGGGACAGCAAGAACTACAATGAGTGCATCCGCCATGAGACCATGCGCGTGGCTGTCTGTGACATGCTGGATGGGAAGGTGCCCTGTCCAGAAGCCCTGTGGTGAGTTAGTCTTGATTGTTCACTCCAAAATAAAAGTTTGAGTCTTTTCAAACCTCAAAAGTGGACTGATGTCGAGATGAGGCAATGTTCCACGGCATCTATTGTCTAGATCCAGCGACAGTGCCTTCAGAAAGTATTCCCACTTGACTTTCTCCACATTTTGTTGTTACAGCCTGAGTTTAAAATTGATTACATTTAGATTTTGTGTCACTGATCTACACACAATACCCCATAGTGTCAAAGTGGAATTATGCTTTTAGAAATGTCTTGAGTCAATAAGTATTCAACCCCTTTGTTATGGCAAGCCTAAATAACTTCAGGAGTAAGAATTTGCTTAACAACTCGGATAATACATTGAATGGACTATCTCTGTGTGCAATAATGGTGTTTAACATTATTTTTTTAATGACTACCCCAACTCTGTACCCAACACATACCATTATTTGTAAGGTCCCTCAGTCAAGCAGTGAATTTCAAGCACATATTCAACGACAAACACCAGAAAGGTTTTCCAATGCCTCGCAAAGAAGGGCACCTATTGGTAGATGGGTCAAAATAAAAAAGCAGACATTGAATACCCCTTTGAGCATGGTGTTAGGTTCTGAACAAACAGAGTAAAAACTCACAGACAACTAGAAAAAGCTCAAACCAAGTTTATTCACCCACTGGGTCATACAGCTGCACAGACAGACATGTTTACACAAGCACATATACACTGCTCAAAAAAATAAAGGGAACACTTAAACAACACAATATAACTCCAAGTCAATCACACTTCTGTGAAATCAAACTGTCCACTTAGGAAGCAACACTGATTGACAATACATTTCACATGCTGTTGTGCAAATGGAATAGACAACAGGTGGAAATTATAGGCAATTAGCAAGACACCCCCAATAAAGAAGTGGTTCTGCAGGTGGTGACCACAGACCACTTCTCAGTTCCTATGCTTCCTGGCTGATGTTTTGGTCACTTTTGAATGCTGGCGGTGCTTTCACTCTAGTGGTAGCATGAGACAGAGTCTACAACCCACACAAGTGGCTCCGGTAGTGCAGCTCATCCAGGATGGCACATCAATGCGAGCTGTGGCAAGAAGGTTTGCTGTGTCTGTCAGCGTAGGGTCCAGAGCATGGAGGCGCTACCAGGAGACAGGCCAGTACATCAGGAGACGTGGAGGAGGCCGTAGGAGGGCAACAACCCAGCAGCAGGACCGCTACCTCCGCCTTTGTGCAAGGAGGAGCAGGAGGAGCACTGCCAGAGCCCTGCAAAATGACCTCCAGCAGGCCACAAATGTGCATGTGTCTGCTGCATTTGTGTCTGCTCAAACGGTCAGAAACAGACTCCATGAGGGTGGTATGAGGGCCCGACGTCCACAGGTGGGGGTTGTGCTTACAGCCCAACACCGTGCAGGACGTTTGGCATTTGCCAGAGAACACCAAGATTGGCAAATTCGCCACTGGCGCCCTGTGCTCTTCACAGATGAAAGCAGGTTCACACTGAGCACATGACAGACGTGACAGAGTCTGGAGACGCCATGGAGAACGTTCTGCTGCCTGCAACATCCTTCAGCATGACCGGTTTGGCGGTGGGTCAGTCATGGTGTGGGGTGGCATTTCTTTGGGGGGCCGCACAGCCCTCCATGTGCTCGCCAGAGGTAGCCTGACTGCCATTAGGTACCGAGATGAGATCCTCAGACCCCTTGTGAGACCATATGCTGGTGCGGTTGGCCCTGGGTTCCTCCTAATGCAAGACAACGCTAGACCTCATGTGGCTGGAGTGTGTCAGCAGTTCCTGCAAGAGGAAGGCATTGATGCTATGGACTGGCCCGCCCGTTCCCCAGACCTGAATCCAATTGAGCACATCTGGGACATCATGTCTCGCTCCATCCACCAACGCCACGTTGCACCACAGACTGTCCAGGAGTTGGCGGATGCTTTAGTCCAGGTCTGGGAGGAGATCCCTCAGGAGACCATCCGGCACCTCATCAGGAGCATGCCCGGGCGTTGTAGGGAGGTCATACAGGCACGTGGAGGCCACACACACTACTGAGCCTCATTTTGACTTGTTTTAAGGACATTACATCAAAGTTGGATCAGCCTGTAGTGTGGTTTTCCACTTTAATTTTGAGGGTGACTCCAAATCCAGACCTCCATGGGTTGATCAATTTGATTTCCATTGATCATTTTTGTGTGATTTTGTTGTCAGCACATTCAACTATGTAAAGAAAAAAGTATTTAATAAGATTATTTCATTCATTCAGATCTAGGATGTGTTGTTTAAGTGTTCCCTTTATTTTTTTGAGCAGTGTATTTATACCCTCCTCCTAGGTGGAGTCAATTCCTTGCACATCTAGAAAGCCAACACATCTCTGTTGCTAAGTCAGGATCTTAATTGGTTCCTCACTCGTGTAGTCATGGCCCTGCCTCCTGCTAGAACCTTCGTGGGCATGGAAGTATATGTGTGTAGGATAGGACTGTTCCTTCTCACTTCATCTGACCTGACCTCGGGCAGAATTCCTTGCTCCTCCCTAACCCACGACTGTCCTTTATCAGTGACTGAAACCAAACTGTTGCCTTTTGCCTCCCTCATTAGGAGCCATGAGATTTAACAATACCATGTTTTGACAGAATGTAAACTTTCTGCACTCCCCTTACTTTCCATACACCTAGTTCTTATTCACCCTCCATTGACCCCAACATATACATTCCTTATACATGTAAAGTAATCAATACGTTCTAGTATGGTAACATGAATTAGTATATTTCAAGCTAGAACCCAATAATGGTAAAGTTATTATTTACGCTTTGGATGGTGTGTCGATACTCCCATTCACTACAAAGATACAGGCGTTCTTCCTAACTCGTTTGACGGAGAGGAAGGAAACTGCTCAGGGATTTCACCATGAGGCCAATGGTGATTTTTAAACCAGTTAGACTTAAATGGTTGTGATAGGAGAAAACAACTGAGGATGGATCAACAACATTGTAGTTTACTCCACAATACTAACCTAAATGACAGAGTGAAAAGAAGGAAGCCTGTACAGAATAGAAAATATTCCAAAACATGCATCCTGTTTGTAATAAGGTACTAAAGTAATACTGCAAAAAATGTGGCAAGAAAAATGAACTTTTTGTCCTGAATACAAAGTTTTATGTTTGGGGCAAATCCAACACATCACTGAGTACCACTCCATATTTTCAAGCATGGTGGTGGCTGCATCATGTTATGGGTATGCTTGTCATCAGCAGGGACTAGGGAGTTTTTTAGCATAAAAATAAAAGGATAAAGCTAAGAACAGGCAAAATCCTAAAGGAAACCCTATTTCAGTCTGCTTTCCTACAGACACTGGGAGACAAATCCACCTTTCAGCAGGATAATACCTAAAACACCAGTTTAGTTATTACTTACCAAGACGACATTGTATGTTCCTGAGTGGCCTAGTTGCAGTTTTGACTTAAATTGTCTTGAATCTATGGCAAGACTTGAAAATGGCTGTCTAGCAATGGTCAACATCTAACTTGACAGAGCTTGAAGATTTAAAAAAAGAATAATGGGAAATATTGTACAATCCAGGTTTTCAAAGCTCTTAGAGACTTACCCAGAAAGACACAGCTGTAATCGCTGCCAAAGGTGACTAACGTGTTGACTCGGGGTTGAATACTTATCTAATCAAAATATATTAGTGTTTTATTTTCCATTAATACATTTAAAAAAGTTTGAGTATTTTGTGTTGTCAAAAATGAAAATTAAATCTATTTTAATCCCACTTTGTAACACAAAAAAAAAGTTGAAAAAGTCAAGGGGTGTGAATACTTTCTAAAGGCGCTGTATATGCCTGAAAGTCTAATATCCTTATTCTATATGAGGCACATAGTTGAATCTTCTTAATAGTTTGCAAGAGACATGTTCAAAGCCACTGACCCACAATACATTTAGAACACAGCTTCCAATGGTGAGTCATTTCATTTGTAGCTGTTTAGCATTTGTTTTTGTGGTTGACCTCATGAATGTTCCTGTGTTGCAGGAGTGTGATGGAGAAATCATTCCTGGAGTACTATGACTTCTACGAGGGGGTCTGCAAAGAGAGACTACACCAACAGGGACAGAACATGCAGGTATTGCCAGAGACCTCATTCTATGTCTGTCTGTTTGTGTGTGTGTGTATACTGTACACGTTTCTTTATGCACCTTGGAGAAGCAGAACACACAGGTTATAATGCATCACACATCCTGATGACTAATGCACTGCACCTGCCCTGGGGTTAGGCAGCGTTTCCCAAACTCGGTCCTCGGGACGCCAATGGGTGCACGTTTTGGTTTTTGCCCTAGCATACACAGCTGATTTAAATGATCAAAGCTTGATGATTAGTTGGTTATTTTAATCAGCTGTGTAGTGCTAGGGCAAAAACCAAAACGTGCACCCCTTGGGTTCCTGAGGACCGAGTTTGGGAAACCCTGGGTTAGAGGAAGACTGAGGGATTTACATGCCCAAACATTTAAAGGGATACTTCAGGATTTTGGCAATTAAGCCCTTTATCTACTTCCCCAGAGTCAGATGAACTTATGGATACCATTTTATGTTTTTTATGAAGGAAGTTGAAGGTAGTTTCGCGAGCTAATGCTGACAAACATTAGCACAATGACTGGATGTCAATGGTAACAGCTAGCATGCTAGCTGTTAGCGTAGATGCCTTGTCATTGTGCTAACGCTAGTTAGCAACTGCGCTAACACTAGTTAGCAACTTCCTTCAAACTGTACGCAGAGACATAATGATATCCATGAGTAGGAGTGATGCGTGGGTAAAATCACTGGGGAAGCAAGAGGGGGGGAGCCATATTACAACCTATGTGTTGTGAAAATTGCGTTGTTTGCTCTATAACCTCTTAGTTCATATGCCTTGCGACCATGATATATAGGTCTAAGGCCGAGACAATAAGAAGACAGTGGCAGAATAAATTCAACCACACCTTTGTTTCATCACAAAACCGGAGAGCAACCTCTGTCCGGTGAAGTCCACAAAACATATTGCATGTAACAAACAATTACATGACCTACAGCATGGCCAAGCAAGTTAATGTTTTCAACATTTTCGGACCACTAAACAACTATTGATTTAGAACCACGGAGAGTTACCGCAAGTCGCAAAGAAAATAGAAGCTTGCCTCCATTATTCCAGCAAGATTTCAACATCATTAAATCACCCATGCTTATTCTAATACAATGACAACTAAAAGAGACCAAAAACAATGTATTCCAATCAACGTAAGCTAAATATGTGGTTGTCCATGGTTCTGATTTCTATTTGTGCAAGTAGAAAAACATGTTGACTCACCCTACTTGTAGAGAAACACCAATGCCATCCTCCTCTCATGTTGACTAAACGGCCTATCACTGTCATACAGTACACACCTTTATTTTTTTTTGTCCTAGGCTACCTGGCTAAAATGCTTGCTCGCTAGCCTAACTTCCTTTCATGGGCAACATTAGCTAGTTAACATTAGCCTTCTACATCTAGCTACATGTTGAACTTCCATCCTCTCAGGCCCAGGGCACAACAATGTATGTATGAATGAATGGTTGGATCAGAATCACCGTTATAATCATTGGCCAGTAAGGAGAATTAAGTAAAACCACAAGTCCAAATCCCTATCTCCATCCATGGCTAATTTAGGAATGGGCCAATTTTTGTTAGCTAGATAGCCACCGGAGGACGACAACACAACCAGATGCAACAATTCAAGTTGTTTCTGTCAATGACGTATGCGCTCTATGTGATTTGATAGGAGTGAGGCCAAATCCAAACTGTCTTCCCTTGACACTTTTTTTTAGTTGCGCCAGGACCATTCTCAGTTGAGCTCGCTCAGTTTATCTAAATGCTGATTGGCTGTTATTTTATACCTTTTTTTTTTATCAAGGGGGGGCCAAATGCATTCAAGGCTATGGGCGGCAACAATGTAATACTCTTTTGGACCAGACAGCATCAGAGAAAGAGGGGCACTGTTTTGCTCGCTTGGATGCGTTCTCCGGTGAGATACATTCAGCCTCTTGCAAGTTGAAGGAAAATTATGAAACAGAGAGGAAATATTTATTTTTTTTTTTTTTTCTTGGTCAGTTTTTTGGTAAGCCAGACTTCCCTTGGCATCCATGAAAACACGCCACTGTTCACAAGTTCATCTGACTCTTCATTGCCAAAATAATTTGTTTATTTACAGAAGGTTCTCTAATACACATATGAAGAAATGCTATCTATACATGTATAAATAAGGTCTCTTTGTACACATATACAAAATAAATAAAAAAACACAGTATACACTGCTCCCACATGCTTTAAACCTGCACCACAACAGTGGAAAATATGAGATGTGGAAATATTAGATCATCCCACACACACTCTTTCTCTCCTTACACACCTCCAGGACCCTTTTGGGGAGAAGAGGGGTCGCTTCGACTACCAGGGCCTACTGGCACGCCTGAGTGCCACCCAGAGGCGCATACGGGAGAAGTGCCCACCGGAGGACAACGATGACCACTCAGACTCTGACACCAGCTCCTCAGGCACAGACCCAGATAGCCAGGGCAGCTCCCAGCCTTAGCCACCAGATGGCGCCACACTACCTTTTATTTTTCTGTTTCCCACATTCTGTTTTTGCAGGATGCTTTTGGCGTAAGCGAGATGTTGGGGAGGGGAAAGGCCTGATTTTCAGGAAGCACTTATGATGCAAAGGCATGGGATAGCTAATGTCTGTTTTGATTGGTTGTTCTTTTTCCTCTCCCCCAATGACTGCCTTTTGATTATTATTTTCAACTGATGTAAGTAAACAATGCTAGTGTACACTTAGTTGGTGTTGGGGGAGTTTGGCTTGTAGAAATGGACAGTTTGTTTGAAAGCAATTTGTCATAGCCTCTGCCTTTTTGTTGTCTTTGTTTTCCACGCCCGACTGGATTAGGAAGTAGAGGTGACATCTGAGATTGACCATTCTCAATATTCACAGTCAGTACAACCACATCAATCCTCTTAATCAGATCACCAAACTTCTATTCATTCATACATCGGTACACATACCTCAGACTATCCACTTCTAAAGTCCCATTGTCTCTTATGATGTTCTTTCCTTAATCTGAACAGTACTTAATAAAATTATGAACTGAGTCATAATTACATTATGAATTCATAATGAATTGCATTAGTAAAAATAAAAAAAACTCAGTTAATGCCTAGTACAAAATATGTACAGTTGTGGTCAAATATATTGGCACCTTTGCACTTTACAATCGAGCAGATTGTAATGTTTATTCTTTTCAAAACTGGTTGGATGGCTATTTCTTACCCTGTAGGCACCTGCAACTTATGACAAAATGTGAATCACTTGCCTCCATCCAAATTAATTAGGATTTTCGATAATGTAGTCCAGGCCATATTTTGACTTGGAAAAATCTAAATTTCAGTTTTGATCAGTTTTTTTCTTGATCCTGTGCAGATGTAAATCAAACAAATGCACGTGTGTACATGTTTTTTTCTCCAACTTATTTGAGAAGAAATAGTGAATCATTCAAGGGTGCCAATATATTTGTCCGCAACTGCATATATATATATATATATGTATATGATGCACAACAAGAGATTTAATTATGGTCTATGGGCAGTGTCTTCAAATAATTGTATGTTGACTGAATGCTAAAGCCTGCATGGCAACACAGTTTTTTCTGCATGAAAACGATGCTCTCTGAATCAATGTTTGATGTTCATGATTATCATTCAGCTATGGTGGTGTGGATTAAACCTTCAAGATATGTTTTTCTTCTATGATGCTAAAATGCTGGTAGGGAGTAATAGGGATCCTAATATCTCCATTCAGACTAAATGGTCCATGGACATTTGGTTTGGTTTCACTAGAAAACACCTAGAAAGCCGGATTTGTCATTTGACCTGTCCCATTTAACCATTGCCATGTTTTCCATAGCATTTTTCATTGGGAGCAGTGGACTGGTGCCTCTTCAGGTCCATATAGCGGCATCAGCCGGTACCAAACAGGCACAGATCTGTGTTAGACCTCCATGGTGTCACCTTTTCAGTCATCTGAAAGCCACCACCAAGATTTCAAACAAGCCACAGGAAATGTTTTTTTTTAATTTTTTTTACAAAAATACCTGACACCTGCTTCAATGCAGTGTCAACTTTCTGTCATTTAGTTTTTCTCTGGGAACTGAGTTTTTGCCTGCGATGGGTTTCTGTAGATTGGTTTGTAGAATGATTTTATGTTGGTTTGGCGCTAAAAGTTCTAAATTGGCTTACATAAATGGTGTCAGAAGTGCGTTCCACAGGTTGGCACAGTCTTAGGTACAGGTTCTATATAAACCTAACCTGGCAGTCAGACTGACAACACAAACTTCAAATGGACATCAAGTGATCAAGGAGGATTTAAAAAACGTACGATAAACTGTATGCCCCATTATAACCAGTGGTCTTGTCTGCTGTAAGAGGTAGATGTAATTTTTTTCATATTGATGTGGAGTTGTTATTCCTGCTTTGACAGCCGTTAAGTCAGATGCCCCTTCGAGACTTCTGCCCGAGGCACAATTGTTTGTCTCTTGAATCGTCCCTCTTCAAAGTGTCACAAAACATCGTGCCTATCAGCCAGAGCAGCTCAACAAGAACCTGGACTGAGGCCTCAGTAGAGGCTTTCCATCTTTCTGGTTTTATCAAACTGCTTAAAGGTAGAGGGGGCTAAACACCTCTACCATGTCACTTGGTTTGTAATCCTATCTAGCAAGATGTGACATTTGGAGCAACGAATAATTCTACTCTTCTGTCTTTGGTCCTTATTGCATTTTGAAACTACCCACTCAGGATACAGCAAAACCTCTTGCTTTGTAATGGCCTGTCTAGACCACAATCTACTGTCTAATTAAGGAGGCAAGCTCCAGTGCAGAGTGGCACCCAAACAGGACCGGACCACACCCTTATTTTCCTTCTCATGGACATGTTTTTCTATTCCCTCCCATCTGGGTGCATTTCTGCTCAGTCGACAGGGACTGGGACTTCCTCTCACAGGAAATAATGTTGGATTTAATAGATCTCATGTTTTAGATAATACTGCTAACTTTGTTTGCAAAGTTTGAAGAAAAATAAAATATTTAAAATGTATGAATCTACTGCAAATGAAACTTTAAAGCAAATATCCTCCTGGCCAGCTGCAAAGGAGTAGGTATGAGATGACACTTCATGCTCAATAGTTTGAAGCCTTGTTTTGGTTTGGTGTGTATATTCATGTAGCATTCTGATGTGAACCTTCTAGTGTGTCCCTTGTCTGATGGTTTATTTTGGGTTTGTGCCCCCAACCCAGAGTATTATCTGAATCGCTTTTATTAAGGCATCTTCAATCCATAATGGTATGGATTTGCATTTAGGTGTTTTCAGGAAGTGAAGTATGTAAAGCGTAGAAACTTCGAGAATAAATGTTGGCAAGGCCATGGCATAGTAAAAAAAATATATATATATATACACAAACAGGGAGAACTCATCTGTCAGCCTTCTCAATGAGATGAGTAACATTTGTATTGAGTCCCATTCATAGTATGTCCTGACCTTCAATCTATGTAATTTTTCATGCGATGAGAATGTGACCCCACCCCCCTCGGTGCACGTTTTGGTTTTTGCCCTAGCACTACACAGCTGATTCAAATAACCAACTCATCATCAAGCTTTGATTATTTGAATCAGCTGTGTAGTGCTAAATGTGCACCCAGGGAGGGGCCCCCAGGACCAAGTGCTCTACAGTACATTCCCACAGGGGCTCTCAACACTAATGGCCATTCACTCTGTCTCAGTTAATGGTAAGTGAATGGTTTACATGTTTCAATTGACAGAAGATGTGGGACCCATTTTAGGCCTTGATTCAACGTTCCAGGCCAAGGCATTAGTCCCAAAACTTTGACTGCCAAGTTTATGCAAGACTATTTTCATCTGACTTCATTTCTGTTTTCATTATCTATGTAAAAAAAAAAGACTAATAAAATATAACAATGGCTATTTTGATCTGTGGCATTCTGTTTTAGTGCAAGTGTTATATTGTTAATAGTGACAATTTTATAGGCATTCCGTTGAGAGCTTCAGCCCAGCCACCGTTGCGTTGGTAATGCCAAGGAGGACTACAAGTTCCATAAGCCCGGCCTCCCGAGTGGCGCAGCGGTTTAAGGCACTGCATCGCAGTGCTTGTGGCGTCTCTACAGACCCGGGTTCGATCCCCGTCTGTGTCATGGCCGTGACCGGGAGACCCATGAGGCAGTACACAATTGGCCCAGCGTCTTCCGGGTTAGGGGAGGGTTTGGCAGGGGGGACTTCCTTGTCCCATCACGCTCTAGCGACTCCTTGTGGCAGGCTGGTCGCCAGCTGGACTGTGTTTCCTCCGACACATTGGTGCGGCTGGCTTCCTGGTTAAGCGAGCAGTGTGTCAAGAAGCAGTGCGGCTTGGCAGGGTCGTGTTTCGGAGGACGCATGGCTCTCGACCTTCGCCTCTCCCGAGTCCATAGGGGAGTTGCAGTGATGGGACAAGACTGTAACTACAAATTGTATATCACGGAAAGGGGTGAAAGTACAACGACAAAAAAGCCCCATATACAATCATTTTCAAAATTGTTGGCACCCTTGATAAAGATTAGCAAAAAATACTATAAAATAAATAATACAAATTACATTTTATACTAATACAATTTCTCAGATGAAGAGATTTTTTTTTTTAAGTAATATTTTTTCCTCTCAAAAAGATATGGGTCAAAATGATTGGCACCCCTGTTTTAAATACCTTTCAATACCTCACCTTGCAAGGATAACAGTATTGAGCCTATTTCTAGAATGTTTTATGAGATTGGAGAACACATTGGGAGGGATTTTATACAGAATCTTTCCAGATCCTTTATTATCTTTCATCTGCGCTTATGCACTGCCCTCCGGAGACATTGCATAATGTTGATTTTGTGGTCAATTAAACGTTTCTTTGTGGATTTTGATGCGTGCTTGAGGTTATTGGCTTGCTGGAAGATCCACTTGCGGCCAAGTTTCAGCCTCCTGGCAGAGGCAACCTTGCCTGGCTACCCAACCACATTGCTCTGGGCAAATGCCCAGCCACGCCCACGAACGATTCGCGATCATAGAGCAGCGGAATAATTCAGTTTGAGTCATCAAGCAAGAGGCATCCAGGTTTTTGGCTAAAATATCCTGGTACTGGGTAAAGTTAATGATGCCGTTGACCATAACAAGGGCCCCAGGACCAGTGAAAGAAAAATAGCCCCATAACATCAAAGATCCACCACCATATTTTACAGTAGGTATGTGGTTCTTTCCTGCTTATGCATCCTAATTTCGACGCCAAACCCACCACTGGTTTGCATGGCCAAAGAGCTCTATTTTCATGTCATCTGACCATAGCACCGGTTCCAATCCAAGTGCCAATGCCGTTTAGCAAACTCCAGGCGGATGACATGAAGATAGAGCTCTTTGGCCACGCACACAGAGTGCGAATTATGGGGTTCCAGGGAGTCTCAGAACCCCTGAATGAGACATGAGTCCCCCTAAATAAAACAAAGTCAAAATTTGGGGGGGGGGGGGGGGGTTGGGCCTCCCAAGTGGCGCAGCGGTCTAAGGCACTGCATCGCAGTGCTTGATGCGTCACTACAGACCCAGGTTCAATCCCAGCCTGTGTCACAACCGGCTGTGATCAGGAGTCCCATAGGGCAGTGCACAATTTGCCCAGCATCGTCCGGGTTAGGGGAGGGTTTGGCCTGGGGGGCTTTACTTGGCTCATCGCGCTCTAGCAACTCCTTGCTCTAGCAACTCCTTGTGCGCCTGCAGGCTGACTTCAGTCGTCAATTGAATGGTGTTTCCTCTGACACATTGGTAAAGCTGGCTTCCGGGTTAAGTGGGCGGGTGTTAAGAAGCGCGGTTTCGGAGGACACATGACTCGACCTTCGCCTTCTGAGCCCATTGGGGGAGTTGCAGTGATGAGACAAGATCAAAAAAGGGGATAAAATACTAAACTAAAAAACTTTGGGGGGGGATCTCTAAATAATGAATGCTAATTTAACCATTCTCCTATTTGTTTCAAATGTAATTTGTACTGCGACAGTAAATAAATATTAAAATTAAAGCTTATTCCAAATTAAATGAACACCCCCACATCTGTGTCATGGTTTAAACAATGTTTTCCCCATGTGGCTGCACCCGGAACAGTCCCGTATCTCAGCCCCTTTTCAGGTGTCCCAACTTTTCTTTCTACAAAAAAGGTCCTTCTGTCAGCAAGACAAATCAATTAATTCAGGCTACAAGACTGAAGACCCAATGACAATTGCTGAATGTCATTACACTTTTTGTTTCACAATAAGATGAAAACATCATGACTGGTTGTTTTCATTCCAAATAAAAAGGTTGCTGGTTCAAATCCCCGAGCCAGCAAGGTGGAAAAAATCTGCAGTTCTGCCCTTGACCAAGGCAGTTAACCCCCAACAACAACTGCTCCCCAGGCGCCAATGACGTGGATGTCGAGGGGTTAAAGGCGGAAGTCACATTTCGGTTGAATCCATTTAG